CATTCATAATATTAGGCATTACTGAGAAATACAAATTTACAATAATTTGACAAAAAACGTACTTGTTAAAAAAGAAAAAAAAAAACTTTTTATTATTAATCATCCAAGAGGTTATAAACATCTTATATTCATTATGAGAAAAAAAAGAAGGAAAAAAAGTCTAGGTTTCATAATACAAAATTAGAGCATATTAATTTCTCTCTCAACTAATATATAAATCTCAATATAATACTTTAACCTCTAGGATACATAGCAATAAAGAGCTTTTCTGAATACAAGTAAATGGTGCAGACAGAACAAACAATTCTACTAGAAAAAGCATGATCTGCATAAAGACCATTCATCCAAACCAGCTTGCATCATAGCTCTTACCTCTGGATCATGGTCATTCCTCATGTCCATGTTTTCCTCATCTGAATCTGTGTCGCTCTCGGAATCAGACGACCTCAGAGGATCTTCTTCTTGGTGTTCCTCACGTGTCTGTGGCATGGTCTTGAGCTCTTCCCGGCTCCTGAACCCCAGGACTAGGATCAGTGGTGGACAGAGTAGGCCTAACATTACCTAAGGAGAGATAACATATATACTGATAAAGTGTTGGCTGGGAACAAATAGTCAAAAAAAAGAAAAGAAAAAGAAAAGGGAATTATATGTATATCATTAGAAATGAATATAATATGGTCATGCACAAAGAGGTGAAAGATAGGAAAAATATAGCTGTGAAATGAAGATACAATTGACAAAATAATGGACTCAGAAAAATATTTAAAAAGTAGCTGCATCATACAAAATCATTAGAGAATGATTTCTTGATGGTATGCATACTTTCACTTTTTAAACACTGCAGTCATGTAAGTTAATCCTTACATGACTGCATTGATAATGCACCTTATGATGCTGTTTTAACTTACTGAACAACTCTGTAACTTATTCTCCTATTAAAATAATACTCATCTTTACCTTGACATTAGTGTTTTTTCTTGTTCTCAAACCCCCAAGCCAGAGGTCTGCAAGAAGAATCTGGCAACATGGATGTGAAAGGAGAGCTCTGTGGTTGACAGCCACAGCTAAAGAAAGGCACGTTTGTTTGGACCAATTCCTTAGTTCATATGTTAGAAGCTGCTGGGCACGGTCGTCATCTTGTTGATAACAGTAGTCTAGCACATGTAGAGCTTTGGGGAAAAGTATGGAATGATAAGTAGTTATTCTTTTCATGTTTTTACTTTCCACAAAGTAAAGAAGTTTAGAGCTTTTTTTCTTGCCTGTTCTAAGCTTTCATTTTCAATCTGGTCCTGCATGTTCAAATATGAAAGGATTCCTACTTTGATGTTCCTATGATTCAATGACGTCATGAATGAACAATGAGATACTCAAAATGGCTCAATATTTATAACAAAAATTGAATGAAATAAATGTATGACTGTAAAGAAATATTCAAATGCAAGAGGATTTTTGTCTTCTCTTCATGACTTTTCACTTAGCTAACTTAGAATCTAGAATGCATGCAAATATGCATAATCTTTTAAAACAAGTCATTAGATATAACTAAATCATTTCAAAATAAACCTGAGCCATATTGGGATTGTTGACTATCTTACCTAGAGCCTCAAATTCTTTGGCATAACTTCTAAGCTCCTCATACACTTCTGTTTCTAGATCATCATCAGCTGCCTCATGTGCCAGAGCCTTGTACAGCTTGGCAGCCACAAGAGCCTTTGCTGTGGCTTCCTCCCCATGCTGCCACATCAGCATTGCCATGCCTTGTCTCTTGGTCAGGACAGCCCAAACCTATATCAGAACATCAGTGCAAAATGTCAATGCCTCCTTACCTTTAAAAGAATAACCAATATGCAAATATTCACTCTAGGATAGTCTTCATTAACTTACCAGCAACTCACTGAATGGATATTCAAACTCAAAGTCTGACTGCAAATCTGTTAGGTTGTTAAAAGACTTAGGGGAAGTGGAAGATTTCTGGAGAAGGCTTTTGCTGTTGTGGAAGATGTGGCTATTTATCCGCTGAAGCCGTGGTGACCTGGCCATGCTATTTTCATAACAGGTTCTAAACTTTTTCCGCGAGTAGAAAGACCTACAAATTTAATTCATTCCATTAAATATTGCATCTACAGCCTAAAAAAGTGACACATATGCATATTTTTTTCTAAATTTTCATTTCAACCAATATAAATTCAAGTGTGAAGCAGTATCTCTTCTGGAATTTTGTTGCAGATTATTTATCCACTGTATAAAAAAAAAAAAAAAAAAAAAAAAAAAAAAAATCCCATGCATGATAACATTACTGTAAATTTCCATATCTTTATCATCAACCCATGAAACACAACTATACCTGTAAGCACCACCCATTAGCTTGTTTATAACAAGCCCAATGTCTATCAGAGTGTATCTGTAGTCTCGAGGTATGTTCTTTTTCACATCTCTGATAATGTATCGGAGAGTGTTAGCTGGTCCTTGTTTCTGGGTGGGGGAGGAGGAGATAATATTC